GCGCGCGCCTGTCCTGACCTGCCCTTGGGATTTCGAGAGAGGATTGCGCAGCTCAGAGAGGTAACTGCCTCGTCCCCGTGCCATCTGCCACCGGCTCCCGGGGCAAGAGCTGCGGCTGCGAATTTGGCAGCGACCCGCAGGCGGGCCCCGTCGACCAGGCCTTGAGTTTACAGCGTTCCTGAAGGGGAGTTTGTTGGCCGTTTGTGCCCATTGCAGGTTCTGGACTGCTGGGAGTTGAGGTTGCCGCGCCAGATGTTGGGGGTGACAGCCAGGATTCCTCCAGCCAGCTGTTGCTTGCAGCTGATGCAGCGAGCTTGAACTGCAGCTGCCTGGGGAGAGTGGCCCCGGGGCCGCTGGGTTGCGGGTGGTCGTTGATGTCTTTGCGGCGCGGCTTTTTTAGAATCAAACGCTGCATGCTTATGGCCACGTAGACCTTGCAGAATCGCTGTGGCTTCTTTCCAGATTGTGCAGCACCAGCCCAAAGGGTGGGATGTCGCAGGGGCAGCAAAACCTGATGGGGTGGGGGGGCCTGTCAGCTAACCTTTGCGGGGACAACTTGCAGACACTCGGAGTTCAGCAGCGTCGGAGAAGTGTGCATGTCGCAGGAGGTCGTCAGCCTGCCTGAGGGGGGTGGGTTACTCCAGTTTAGAGCATCTGCAGGCCCCTGCCCCCCAGTCAGACTGCCTTTGTCAGCCGGGGTCGTCCCACATCCTGCCACCTGGCCTTTCAGGAAAGCCGTGGTATTAAGTAAGGAAGGAGCTCAGCTCTTGTTGAGACCACTTTGTTTTCAGTTCTCCCTGCTTCCGATTTCCTTTCCTTGGAAAGCCGCTCTGGTCGAGTGTCTCAGGGTAGCCTCTGGGGAGAACCACTGTTTAAAAGAGTCCTCTGGACTGCAAGTGTTAAACAGCCAGTTACTGCTCTATTCTTGTCTACGGTGCTCCTGGCTTTTTTTCCCCAATTCTTTGTACAATTTTTGAATTTGGCGGGGGGGGGGGTACTTTCTAAAAATTCAATGAAATATTTGTTGATAGAAGGGTAGTGAGGTAACAGAAATGTGAAAGAAATATTACAAGTAATATTGTATGTCTTTGCCTATAAGGACTTTATAATCGTAGCTCAGAAATTATCATAGGTCAGATTATTCCTTAATCTTAAATGTGGAGAAGTCCAAGTACTGGGTACTTGGGCACTTGGGCAGTGAGTTTTTATTTATTTTAAGGAGGCCATTCTGCAGGCTGTGCAAGGCTGAACCTATGAATGAGATGACACTGGGCTATCAAATCCTGACATTTGCGTGTCTTGCCTATGGTTACGGTTCTCACTGAGAACTTTGCTGAAAGATCTTAGGTGCAGAAGAAAGTAATAGAAAAATCAGAAAAGCAAAAAGAGGCTGCACCTGGCTTGTTTCAAATCTTCCTCTTGCCTGCCTGTTTCCATGTGAGAGCAACAGGCACCACAACCACAGGTGTGGTGTTGTGAGACTGGCAAGGGGGCGGGTGTTGGAAGACCTGGCTTCCCGGCCAAGCGCTGCCCCTGGATGGCGTGGTTCCTACATGAACAGGACAGGTGCTTCAGCTGCCGTAGCTGGAGACAGAGATGGTCGCATGATTTCAGGACGGGGAATGAGGTCATCTTTGATCTTTTAACCTCAGCATCAAGCACAGCGCTCGGTGGTCAGGCAGTGGTAGTATGTGGTCAGGCCGTGCTTGTCAAGTGATGGATGGACAAATGAATGACATCGTGAAAGAGACTTCTCGTGTCACAAAAGGGAAGTGCGTGTGATGTTTTTGTCCCTTTGTTATGTCTGTGAGCCTGCCGTGATTTTGCCCAAATCCACCTGCAGGGAATGTCTGACATCAAAGGAGAGATTACCATTTGACCCAGCGAATGACTGACTGCTTCCAGGCGTCATCCAGCAATCAGATGAGGAATCCCAATCTAAAACTACCACCAGAAAACTTAGAAGCAACCTTGGAGTCATCTAGCCCAAGTCTCTGTTCTGAGTGGGCTACGAGAATTTAGAGAATTTAGACCATTTTATCAGGGAGCCTAGACCCACCTAGGAGCGGCTTCCCAATAACCTAGGTTTCTTTCTTCCCCCTCTTACATAGGTTTACGTTCTTTCTCAGCTAGAGGCTTGCCCTGGCAAAAAGTATGATACAGAAGTGGGATTGACAACTGGGGTAAAACTTCCTAGGGACCCTCTTCATGCTCTGAAACTGTCTTTGTCTGGAAATTAGGATGAATGATAAGCACCCTGCTAAGGGCCAGTGAATTCAAGCCGGCTCTCCACACAGCTCTAGGATGTAGAGGTCCAAGGTTCTGTCAACTCACAGCATCGGTTGGAGATGTGGGTTTTGCCCCCCTCCTCTTTCATTTGCCCTGAGTGGCCCCTCTGGCTGAAATTTCTTTTCTTGTCTGCTTCCAGCCTTTCCTTTCTTTCTACCAGCTGATGATGCTTGAGGATTTCAGGGTGAAGACAGGGTGGGAAATGCATCAGTCTTGGTACCTAGAGGACGATAGTAGAATTTGGTTGGCAGTTGTTCAAGCAGTACAGCTCCAATATCTGCTCTTGCAAGTAGGATTTATTATTCTGTTATTATTATTATAACATTTCCTATTCTTATGTTTAAAGCTCAGTGGAGAGGTTCTGAAAGCCTGCTGACCGTTTGCTCGAAAATTGCAAAGCATCTTGCTGGAAATAGGCTTTTTTGTTGTTTATAAAACATTCAGTTTTAGCTCTATATTACTAATACATTTTATAAATAAACTCTTTATACATATTTCTCCCTGGGACTAAAGAGGAAACTCCAGTCCACAGCCTCAGTGGCAGCATAAAATTGCAAGATTTTCCGCAAAATATTCACTGTCTTTCCAGTATGGGGAGGGAGTGCTTAAAAGCAATAAATCAAGATTTTGCCTAAGAGCAACGATTGCTTGGTGGTCTTCTTAGAAGAGGAGCCAGACTTGTCAGGGCTACGTTGTGCCTGTAACTGGCATTCAGGGGCCTTAAAATTCAATTGCTGACCCAGAGTAGTATCAGAGTAGCATGGGAGCTTCATTCGGGTTATGGGGCAGAGTACCTGCTGCCGACAGACAGGCTTGGCTCCCTGACAAACGTTACTGAAAACACGGGTTATTCCCCTCCCCCTCAGTACCCACTCCCCGCCTTCCTTCTCCTGTTTAGACTAATCTTTAAAAGTGATGTAACTTAAAACAGTCCAGTGTGAGTTAATCTTTGGGGCCAGCTAGTATCCTGGGAGTAGAGGTGACTAAGATCCTTTGCCTACCAATTAGGGTAATGACCAGATCAGACGCTGGGGTTTCCTGCAGGCAGGTATATAAGAGTAATATCAAAGGCGAGCTAACGGAATGGGGTTTTCTATCCCTCCTCTTCAGATATAGCATAATGGCTGAGCAACTTCTTCCTCTGGCTTTGTATTTGAGCAATATGCGGAAAGCTGTGAAGATAAGAGAGAGAACTCCAGAAGACATTTTTAAACCTACCAATGGAATCATTCACCATTTTAAATCCATGCACCGATACACGCTGGAAATGTTCAGAACTTGCCAGTTTTGTCCACAGTTTCGGGAGATCATCCACAAGGCTCTCATTGACAGAAACATCCAGGCCTCCCTGGAAAGCCAGAAGAAACTCAACTGGTGTCGGGAAGTCAGGAAGCTTGTGGCACTGAAAACAAACGGTAAGACATGCTTTTTTCCCAGGGGGCGGTGGGGGCAGGAGTTTGACTCCCAGGGTGCTGGGTCCCCATTCATTAAAAGGTAACAGCCCCAGCCCAGCCCCAAATCACATCTCTCCAGGCCATAGACACCTTAGGACAGAGACTCTATAAGGGGCATGTGATGAGAGCAGGCTTGTTTTATGGCTGTTTTAATTAAGGCTGTTTTCTAGTTGTGTGTATTAGAGAGCAGAGCACACTGAGGCTTGGGGAATGCATTTCTAGACACCATGCACCCATTAAGTGTGTATGTCTGGTATGTATGTATGACTTCGGTATCTAATTCTTTTTGACTATTTAATCACCTGTAAAATGCCCTTCCCTAGCCAGTAATGCAAATATTAAAAGGCTTTAAGTTCACAAGGAAAGCCTCGTGTGAAAATTGGTGTTGTTCCCCACTCTCCTTAGAAAATGCTTACGCTTCTTGAATCGATGGCATTTTATGGGTTAAGCAATAGCTGTTGTCAGTTCCTCCCTTACCTACGTTCAGTTGCCTGTAGTCCCATGATATGCACTAAAAAGATATTTGAGTTTCTTAGTGCAGATTTTAGGCCTCTACTTCATTATTTTTAGGGATTCCTAGTAGTGAATTTCTTGCTACGTGTGCCTGTCTGCCCAATGGCCATTTATGACTGATAGCTGTTTCCTGTTCTAAGCTTTACTGTTTTGATTTTTAATTATTTCCTTTGAGCAGAAGTATGTGCATCACAGAAACATTCAAGCGTACTGTTTCATGCTTCAAAATTCTGCTTTATAGATGTAGCTAATTATTACAAGAAGCGCGTAGACAACTAAATGCTTACAGTCTGGGTAAAAGCAGGAGTCTCTTGTCCTTAGATCACTGACAGTCCTAAGCTATCCCGATCAAAATAATACGTCAAAGGGCAAAATAATACATCCTAGTTGACAATGAGATGATAAGAACATTAACTTAATGAAATTCATTTGTACGTTCACTTTGGCCATTTTTGACTTGGGTAACGTGGCATGATGGAGGGACAGTTTTTGGCTTTGGTTCTGGGGGCCAGGCGCAACACCTCAAGATTACTTTTATTTTTGAAGCACAGATTCTTAGAAACACAGAAAGAAAACTGGGGATTGCTAGTGTTTACATTGTTGTTGGCATTAAATCAAGTGATGCTTGGGAGCAGGTAATTATGTTAAGTCATCATCAAGGAGTTTGTATTCCTGACAGTTTATGGTTTTAACTCTCTCCTATTTTGTTGCAAAAAGAGGTGGAGTCAGCTTTGGGAAAGTTGGAAACAAAGAGATTCTTCCAAATTAGAAATATGGTAGAAAGAGAAAATCCATATTATGAACCTTATTAACTGAGATTTTAGGTCTAACTTGCTCCAGTCCCTTAAAGAAAAATGGATATAATGTAAAGAGTAAACACTTGTTTTGCAAAGATATGTCACTTAAATCCAGGATTCATGCTACAAATAAGACTACGAAATCAGGTGCATTTTGATATAGTTTTCTGGGAAATCAAGAGTTTTAGGCTCAGAATCCTTTTATTTCCCCACTTTCAAGAAAATTCCTTAAAATTCTGGAAAAAGGAGACAAGGTATTTAGGGGAGGGAGGAAAACAAGTGACTTTTCCTCTCTGTGATTTTTATTAGCAGCTTTGTTTTTTAAGCCTGCCCCCAGTAGGAGGGTTCTACGGAGTCAGTGGTCTGTTTGGGGAGGGGTGATTCACAAGTTCGCATTTGAGGATGTGAGCCTGTGGTGAATGAGGAAGGGAGTAGGAGGCATAAAATTGAAACTTCATGTGAAAAATCCCAGCGTCTATTGGCTGCCGCGATTTCACTTGTATAATGAGTAGCCTGATTCCAGCTCACCCTGACCACACCCACTTGGAAAGTCCAGGGTGCACTTCGCAGTTTAAATGTCTACACATCAGAACAAAAAGTACAATGGCTGTTGCTCAATTGCTAGTCAAATAACTTAGCACTGGGGAATTCCAGATGTTACTTAGGGAATTTTATGCTGCTGCATCTCAATAAAGAACTGAAAGTAAGCACAAGAAGAAGAAAAAAAGCCTTATCTTTGCTCTAGATTTTGCAAAGGGGAAATTTCAACAGTGCAATTGTTGCCACACTTCTGCCAAGACACACGGCTTGAGCGATCTTTTTTGTTCGTTTCTCTAAATACTGGTTTTTCTAAGTGCGTAAATTGAAGGGATACTGGCTGTGGCCATATATTTGAGGGTTTTTTGTGTTTTTGGTTGGGTTTTTTTTTTCTGTTTGACTATAATTAAAATATGGTAACATTTCAAATAACTTTATTGCCCTGTAGAGCAGTGTAAGAAACCAGTTGAACTTTTCTTCATGAAAAACAGTTATGCACTTGCCAAAGGAGACTAAGGAGTTAACTTTTTAATGTTAAACATCCCTCCAAAACGTTTATTCTTTGGAGGTCAAAGAATGCAGGCTCGTGAATTGTGGATTTTAAGCTACGAAAGTAACAAAGTGATGGAATAAAATTAGACCTGTCTTTTTCTCAGAATGCTCAGTATTCTGAAAATGCCAGTTCTAAACAATGGATTATGTTTGAAATGCAGCCACCCAGGCCCTTGTTAGCTCTGTGAAAGGACTCCGTGATTGCTAACAGACGGGTTCCCTCAAGGCATTGCTAGGGAGCGGGGGCCAGCAGGCTGTAGGTAACTGTGTATTCTCAGTCCCAGTTTACAAATGAGAAGAGGAAACTCCCAGGCCCCCAGAACTGCAGTGGGATGGTCAAGCCACTCAGTCATAGCTAGACTGTCCCTGTCTAGTAGATGGAGCGCAACCAGCTTCCTGGTTTGAGCGTGTTGCCCTGTGTAGGGTCACAGAGTAATAGTGCCAGCGTCTTAGCCAGAAAATCAAGGAATGTTAGCGAGGGATGGGCTTTAGAGATCATAATCCGATGCCCTCCTTTCACAAAGACGAAAAATACTCTCAGAGGTCAAGGAATTTCCCTCCAATGTCATCTAAACTGGTTAGGGTAGAGCCAGGCTGGAACCAAGGTCTCCTGACTCTCAGTCCCTGGTTCCCTGGCTCTGTTAGGATCATTCATTTAAAATACAAGTGAAAAGAATGATATTCACCTTAAAGCCGTCATTGCCTTGTGGAATGTTACCACTTGGCCCTTCGACTAAATAATGAAGCCCTTTGCATTTCTCCCAAGCCTCCCATTGGGTCCCTGATGGTAGCAGTAAGGCTCATTTATTCCAGAAAGCTTTTCCGGGCCTTAGATGTGGATGGCTTGAATTTGCCCCGCTTCTGTCCGCAGGCGACGGAAACTGCCTCATGCACGCTGCTTCCCAGTACATGTGGGGTGTTCAGGACACAGACTTGGTCCTGAGGAAGGCGCTCTTCAGCACCCTCAAGGAGACGGACACGCGCAACTTCAAATTCCGCTGGCAGCTGGAGTCTCTAAAGTCTCAGGAATTCGTGGAAACAGGACTTTGCTACGATACCCGGGTATGTTGTGTATCCCCGTCAGCATCTGTGGACGGAGCTCCATGGAGGGAAGAGGGTACCTTAGGCCGGTCCCTGCTCTCAGGGAGCGTTTGATTTGCCAGGTCATGTGAACTTGGCAAAGCGGAGTCAATGGAAAACACCAGAAACCTCCTGTGGGATGATCCCCAGGCTTTGACACTGCGGGGAGACTCCCTGGCAGGAGCTTCCCAGCTGGAGAGTCATTTTAGCAAGGTCTTTCTGATCAGGGCCTTCCCTGTGGCGTTTTGGTTGGCTTTCGGTTTGATTGCCCTTTGCATGCCTTGCTGAGCCAGCCAATCAAATTCAAGTGGTGCCTCCCATCTTCAGTCACAAGTTTGGGATTTTTGTGCACCTTCGGATGGGGGGCTTCGAGGTCATGCCTCTTCAGGGATTTTTTTCTGAAAGCAGGTGCTGTCCCCATCCTCCCCTACTTTTGAGTTTGCCTTGCTAGTGGAAAAAAGTAAAGGAAGAAAACCAAAATGGGGAAAACTGGGTGACCGTTTGAATGATGATTTAGAGAAAGGGGAAAAGTAAGCTGAGTGCTGTAAATGAACAATCACAGAGTGAAGCCAGAATTGTCTCAGAGTGCAGAGTACGCTCAATTGTTTCGCTCTCCCCCCTCAGAATTGGACTGATGAGTGGGACAACCTTGTCAAAATGGCATCCACAGACACCCCGGCAGCCCGGAGTGGGCTTCAGTATCATTCACTGGAAGAAATACACATCTTTGTCCTTTGCAACATCCTAAGAAGGCCCATCATTGTCATTTCAGGTGAGATGCTTGCAGACGGCTTATCTGTATTTAAGTTTATTTATTATTTATTTTCAGCTGCTTTAGCTCTTGGGAAAGTCCACACCACCAAAGTTGTAGGCGATTATAGCTAATGGAATCCGATGGAAGTCACAGAGGGCCTTATTTTTCCTTTCTCTTTCCTTAAACAGACAAAATGCTGAGAAGTTTGGAATCGGGTTCCAATTTCGCTCCTTTGAAGGTGGGCGGAATTTACTTGCCACTCCATTGGCCTGCCCAGGAATGCCACAGATACCCCATCGTTCTCGGCTATGACAGCCAACACTTCGTACCCCTGGTGACCCTGAAGGACAGTGGACCTGGTGAGAAAACTGAGCATCTGTTCACATTTGTAACTGCTGGTAGATACCAGTACACCCTGTGCCTACTGAATGTCAGGGTCCACTCTTTTGCTCCTTATTGAAATGGCGTCATTTAAGTATATTAGTTTTATTTAAATACAGTAATCTGTCATTTATTTGATTAGCAGCAGTAGTGCAGTGACAGTAATCATAATGCCCCTCCCTGCCTTTTTGTGTTTAGTTTGGAAAGTACTTTCAGCATGTTAGTGGCAAGTAGGAGATATATGTGTATGACATATTAAGGCACACAGAACCCTTAATATAGTGCCTGACATGAAGCAGGTAAATGGTGGTTTAGCTATTACTGTGATAGCTTAATGTGGAATGAATAAGGCACTGGGTAAGTACTTTGGATACATTATTCTATCTATTTCATCCTCACAGCATCCCTGTGGATGCTGTAAGCACTGGCAACCTTATTTTACAGATAAGACACTGGAAGCTCAGAGAGGTTAAATAACTTGCCTGATATCACAGAGCTGGATAGTGGCAAAGACAGGATTCGAACTCAGGTCCGTCTGATTCTGAAGTGTGGGAATTTGACCAATACGATTCAGTGCCTCCAGGCCTCTAAATATTCTGTGAGCTTCCTGGAAACAGTACATTTTCTATTAGAGTTCAGCACAGTTTGTTTCCACATTTGATTCTGTGGCTTGATAATACTTTTCCACTCTGTAATTGTATCCTTTCTGCATTTTCAAAATGTAGTCATTATATATATGGCCTCACACATAATCTCATGCAGTAGGATTGTATTTGGCTTATGTGTTACTTTTTTTTCCCTCAGAAATTCGAGCTGTCCCACTCGTTAACAGAGAGCGGGGAAGATTCGAAGACTTGAAAGTTCACTTTTTGACAGATCCCGAGAATGAGATGAAGGAAAAGCTGCTGAAAGAGTACTTGATGGTGATAGAAATCCCAGTCCAAGGCTGGGACCATGGCACCACCCATTTAATTAACGCTGCAAAGTAAGCAGTTTGTTTTTAGCACCATCGTTTGTCATCTTCCGCTGTTTTTACTTCAGCCACAGAGGCTGCTGCCACCCCAAAGCTCAGCAGTAAAGATATTTGAAGCCAGTTTCCTCCAGTGTGAAACAAATTCAGAGGCTTGTATGAGAGTGAAAGACATTCATTTCAGGCAGTACTGGCTTTGCTTTCAAATGGGAACAAGCAGCTTATCTGTAATGATTTTCCTGCCTATTTGGATGTGAGAGTCGGAACTGTGGCTTCTAAAAGGGTGTTTACATCAAGGGTTGGTTTTTTTTCATTGCCCTGGTGCTAGACCAGCAAGTGAAAATTCTTGGAAACAAAAGCCTCTTTCTCTTGGCTTCTGGGTAAGGCAGACGCGTCAGACAGACTGAGCTGTCAAATGTTTAAGGTTGCAGACACATGACTTCGCCACAGGGAGAAGGGAGGAGAGACCCAGGGTGCAGGTTGTACAGGTATCGAAATTGTCAGTACTGGCTTTATGATAAAGAGATGCCTGTTTCCTAGAATTTGAAAGACACAAGAGAAGACCGAGAAGGCCTAAGAGATTCGGTTTCTCCAAGTGGAGATGGACAAATTACAGAGTCAGAAGTCAGAACGTAGCACCTGGGGGCGTGTCTACCTCTTAGTGACCGCTCCTGCAGTTAACGCTAATAGGAACCAGGTGTACGGTGAAAATTAATAACAGCAAAATTCAGAACACAAAGTTCCAGCGTAGTTGGTGCTATAAAGTAGGCTAGTCTCAAATGAATACCCTGAATAATATTTCACTAGAAATTTAGTCTCTGAGAAGTTAGAAAATAAAAGTGACATTTTCAAAAAAGAATAGAGTAATGAAGTGTGGAGGCAGCCCCTGCATATCTCTTTCCTTAGAATTATCTGTAATTTGGGGTGGACCAAAATTGATCAAATAAAATTGTGATTCTGGAAATAATGACATCTTCTCAGCAGGATTGGCCTGTGCTGTGTTAGAGATGTAAACTCTTATCACAGGCTGCAGTTCAGTGAACAGTTCCAAGGTTATTGCTGCGATCCACATTCTACAAGTTTGCTCTCTGAGCTGATGATGTAAAATTGTGTGTGTGTGTCTGTGCGCAGCCGTAGTCTCACATTTTCCTTTTGGTCTTTAGGTTGGATGAAGCGAACTTACCAAAAGAAATAAACTTGGTAGATGATTACTTTGAACTTGTCCAGCATGAGTACAAGAAGTGGCAAGAAAATAACGAGCAGGGGCGGCGAGACATGCACCCTCCGAATCCTTTGGAACCTTCCATCCCCCAGCTTTCTCTCATGGACATAAAATGTGAAACACCCAACTGCCCTTTCTTCATGTCCGTCAACACCCAGCCGTTTTGCCACGAGTGCTCGGAGCGGCGGCAGAAGAACCAGACCAAAGCCCCGAAGCCCAACTCCAAGCCAGGCCCCGAGGCGCTCCCCGGCCTGGCACTCGGGGCCTCGCGGGGCGAAGCCTGGAGCCCCGAGGAGCCCTCCGGGGGCCCCCACTCGGCCCCTCCGACGGCGCCCAGCCTCTTCTTGTTCAGTGAGACTACGGCCATGAAGTGCAGGAGCCCCGGCTGCCCTTTCACGCTCAACGTGCAGCACAACGGATTCTGCGAGCGCTGCCACCATGCCCGGCAGCTGAACGCCGGCCAACCCTCAGACCCTGCACCCCACCTGGACCCCGGCAAGTGCCGGGCCTGCCTCCAGGATGTCACCAGGACGTTTAACGGGATCTGTAGCACTTGCTTTAAAAGGGCTACGGCCGAGCCCACCTCAGACCTTGGCTCCAGCATCCCACCTGCCTGTCACCAGCGCTCCAAGTCCGACCCCTCACAGCTCATCCCGAGCCTCTCCCCTCACTCCTGCCGCCGGGCCGGGGCCGAGGCCCCCTCCGGCTGCCACTCCCCAGCCACGCGGACACCAGGGGACAGGACTGGGACGAGCAAGTGCAGAAAAGCGGGGTGCATGTATTTTGGGACTCCAGAGAACAAAGGCTTTTGCACGCTGTGTTTCATTGAGTACAGAGAAAATAAACGTGAGTAAGATAATGGATTTCCCTAACCCCCATTTTAAAGCCCATCCAGAAGGCGGTTTGCTCCTGAACCTCAAAAAGGGATCCTCTCTGTGCCGTAGGGTAGAGTGTGGTTGGCAAAGGGAGACAGTCACAGTCGCTCTGCCAGTGCACGTGGAGACAAAAGGCCCAGACTAGCATGCGCCAAGACCCAAAAGCGCCCAGTAGGTAGAGTTCAGAGAATTTGTTTTTATAAAGTCACACGGTGTCATGTATATAAGATGGAGTTTAAGCTAGACTTCTTTTGAAACTTCGGCATCATAGAGAAAACGCAAAACCTGAAGAGCAGTAGGTAGAAAGAAGGGGTCTCCGCTGACATTGTAAGAACACCTGCTTTTAGAAATTGCAGATTTTGAAAGAAGGACAGGCAGTTAATATCTCAGTTCTGTAACTGTGGTCGAACTGTGCAGCAGGTTCGTAAGCAAGAAGTTTGTAAAGTCAGAGATGTTTCAGTAATGGTACTATTATTGTGTGTTACTTGCCAAGCTTCTAGGAGGCTGCTCTCATGGGTACAGCGAAGAGTGGCCTCATCTGTATGTGCAAGACCCTGTTTGTTTCTCTGTGTCAGTGTCTCTCTGCTCGGTGACCCTGTGTTGCTGATTAGCCTCATCTCTCTTCTAGATTTTGTCGCTGCCTCAGGGAAAGCCAGTCCCACAGCCTCCAGGTTCCAGAATGCTGTCCCCTGTCTGGGGAGGGAGTGTGGTGCCCTGGGAAGCACTGTGTTTGAAGGATACTGTCAGAAGTGTTTCATCGAAGCTCAGAATCAGAGATTCCATGAAGCAAAAAGGACTGAAGAACAACTGGTGAGACATTCCCCTCTCCTGTGGCCCGGCCTCCTCCCTGGAGCAGTTTCTTCCGGCTGTGATACGCAGCCTCTCCTACCTGCTAAGTTCCAGGGAAGAATGGGGGGGAAGTCACTGTGACCCCCAGGATTGGAAGCACAGCATTTCCTATTGATTTTCATGGCCTAAGTTTACTATAGAATTCATTTTAAGTGGCATATAAAATCAGCTGTAGAATAAAACCTCTTAAGGCCTCCAAAGAGCCAGATGGCCATGAGAGACTTCTTGGGTTTGCAGTAGAAGCACAGACATCTAAGTGGCCGGCAGCCTTTCTTAAGTAACCCTCTATCATGAGATGGAAGCAGGAGGCGCAGGGCATCCCAGGGCCTCCACTTACTGACTTATGAGAAAAGCAGGCATTAATTAAGAAGCACCTCTTCCGTTGGCTGTGGAGTGGTAGGGACTCTGTCTAGATGAAGGCAGCACAGTGTTAATACAAATGGAAGTGAACTGGGCCGGCATTTGCCAGCCTCCCTCCTAGGATTGGTGCTTCCACTTGACCTCCCAGGAGCCTGGTCTGTTTTCATGGTTGGTGAGGAAAGGTCCTTGGAGACTCCTGTCCCCTTGGTTAGGCAGACACCCTTCGCCCCACAGAGCCCTTTGTAGGATCCCCGCTGTTCAAAGAAACAGCACTGCTCTCCCTGAGAAAAGTGAGCAATGGTTTTCTCTGCTCTCTCTCCACCCAGAGGTCCAGCCAGCGCAGAGACGTGCCCCGAGCCCCCCAGAGCGCCTCCAGGTCCAAGTGTGCCCGCGCCGCCTGCAGGAACGTCCTGGCCTGCCGCAGCCAGGAGCTCTGCATGGAATGCCAGCCGCTCAGCCAGCGAGCGGGCCCGGGCCCCCGGCGGCCAGAGCTCGTCCCCGAGGAGCCCCCCACGCAGCGCTGCCGGGCCCCCGCCTGCGACCACTTCGGCAACGCCAAGTGTAACGGCTACTGCAACGAGTGCTTTCAGTTCAAGCAGATGTATGGCTGACCCGAAGCCGGCAGGCCCGCCCCAGCCCAGAGCGGCCTGGAGCCTTAGCCAGCGTGGTGCTCTGCTCTCAGTGCCCCGGTGCCACCGGAGGGTCTGTCCCTGCATGGAGTGTCTCTAAACAGGGTTCGAGGAAAGACACACTCAGTCACGGCCAGGAATCTGAGCGAAGCATGTGACCGGCAGCAGGTGGTGTCGGATTCAGCCCGGGGTCCTCCCCCTCTCCTACCAGGCAGAAGGCCAGGAACTTCATGGACTTCACACCAGGGCCAGGACTGCTTCATCACCTTCCGAGGAAAGGGAAAAGACACACGGTTCAGAGCTGTTCCCCTGCCCTCCATCAGCATCTCTCAGTGACAGGGAGGCGGGGCCTCGGGGCCGCAGGCCCTCTGCCTGAAGCTCGGGAAGCCCAGGCGAAGTGGACCGATTCCGGGGTCAGTCGGTGGTGGTTCTTCCCTGCCTGCCTTGTTCCTTTCCCACAGACACGGCAGAAGCAGAACCATCCACGGACTATGATTCTGACGCTGCTGAGACCAAACACATTTGTGATGAAAAGCCAACCAGCTGCTCTTTATAATATGCACCTTTTAAGACTCAGAATAAGTCAGTGGGCAGACGGGTACCTCTTTTGGTTATCACTGTCTTTACTTCTCAAGTTTAGCTTGAACTGAGGTGTGCATAGAGATATATTCATATATAATGTCCCCTTATATGATGTATGAGGGAATTTTTTTATGTTGAGATGCTGCCCTAGAGGTTTCCAGTAAGAAGACTGAATAATAATAACCTATTTTCTGGTTGTTGTTGGGGCAGGCACCTCTTCTATACACATGAACTCAACCAGCTACCTTGTTAAAAGGAGCTCCGTGTATGTCTGTCAGTCACTTTATTTATTTTATTGCAAACTTTAAGGTTATTTAAGTGAAGATCTCCTGGTCTGAGCAACATGCTGTACTGTTTTCTTGAGACATCGTATTTGCTTTCAGTCACATCACAGACCCAGGCAAGTTCCTGACCACAGTGGGGGAGTCGGGCTCTTCCTTGCACTTCGATTGCCTTCCCTGGGAAAGAAGGAATTGCATCTGTAGGAAATTCATTAAAATCTCACGCTTCTTCATGAAACTCTGGCTAGCGCCGCCTCCCAGGCCCTCAATAAGAAACTGCACTCCGTGTTGTTTAAATGCTTCTGTGTATCCTACCTCCTTAGAGAGATGATTGGGAAGGAACCGGGATGAGATTGGACAAAGTCACTGGAAAAGATGTTGCCTTTCTTTGCTATGTCACTGCTGTGTCCTGGGGTGCTGGTCAGTGACCTCGTGTCCAGTGGCCCCTAAACATTGGGATAGCAAAGTCTTAATACCTTGAGTAAGCAGAAATTTCTCACTGTGCTTAGCCTATAATTTCTGTGTGCTTTGTGTTACTGTCATACTTGTTCTAGAAAAAAGGGAGGGGAAACACATTTTCCCAGAGGTAAAGGCTGCTATTTTGTGTGTGTTTGTGTGTTTGGTATTCTGACCTGAAAGTCTTGGCTCTCTATAATTCTCCGTGGTCTTTACTTGTACTATGTGATGTGTTTTCCCCGTGGAACACCATTAGCCTTTTTCCTTCACATACCCTTTATAATTTCTTTCTAAATTGTTAAATAAACATCAGTTTTCTTCAACTAGTTCTTTTAAAGTTGCTGTTTTACTATTTTATGTGTTTCAATATTTTCATCCTTAATGTGAAAAGTGGAAATATTTATACTTATTATAGAAAGCATTTGAAATTTGCACATTTAGTTGTCTGATAGAAAACTGTCGGCTCTGTGTTGGCTTTTTTCAAGATTCCTTAAATTGAAATGTAACTTTTCACAAAAGTCAATATTAAAAAATAAATTATTTAAGAACAAATTTTGGTGTTTTTGTTTATGAATGCTGAAAGGAAAAGGCCCAGATATTAAGACCATGCTTCTCAAATAATTTTATTTCAAGGTACACCCGAGCAGGGGATACATCTCTCACCCATGGATAGTAAGAGAACTGACCTTGAAGGGTAAGGCATCTGGTTTAAAAATGAGGACACCGAGGCCCAGAGGGGAGTGGGGAACACCTGCCAGTGCCCGTTCCTGCAAGATGCTAGGTACCTGTGCTCCTCAGATGGTTCCTGCCCTGAGCGTTTGTAAAGTGCAGCAAGAGAAGACAAGAGGGAGAAGCAGAGAGAGAAAGAAAGAAATTAGAGGGGGAGGAAGAAGAAGTGATGTGAGACTTCTCGGGTCAGACCTTAGAAGAGATGACCTATGGCTGTGTTGGCCACAAGCACTGGCAGCACATGACCTGGGAAGTTAGTTATAAGTGGCTCATTCTTCCACCCCACACAAATGTACCTATAGAGGACTGATTCTGGAGGACTGTGCAACTCCTGGAATCTTTTTTTTTTTAAGCTCCCCCAAGAAATTCTGACCATCAGCCAGATTTTAGAACCATGCATTTAAAAAAAACTTAACAATATTTTTAAACCTACTGTGGGAACTTCTAACGTACAAGAAAGTAAAGAGGAGTGCAGTGAACCCCCATACATCCATCATCCAGTTTCAACAGTTACCAACATTTTGCCAAGTTTATTTCATTTTTCATCTTTTTTTTTTCTGGGTTATTTCAAAGCAAATTCCAGATATTGTGTCCTGACACAAATACATCAGTGTGCATCTCTAATTGATAAGAATCTGTTCTTTTTACATAACCACCACTGTTAACACTTAGCTAAATGATGTTTAATGCCATCCAATCCTAAGTATGTATTCTAATTTCTCAGATTGTCAACTATACAGAGACTTGTTGCTTTTGATTGCTAACATTTCTTAAAACTCTCTTATTCTGTAGTATTCCATTTTAATTTTTCATGCTATTCATTAAGGTAATTAGGTCATCTGTAGACTAGCTCATATTCTGGATTTGGCTGATCGCTTTCTTTTGGTCTCATTTAACTTGTTTTTCCAGACTTCTTAGTAGATTCTGGATCAGTTAGGCTAGAATAGTTCTCAGGTGGTGCTGTGTGTGTCCCACGGCACCCCATCCTGTCTGAGCTGTATGAACAGTTACCCAGAGAAATCACAAAGCCTCCACTTGGCATCTTTCCTTTTTCTCCATTGTTCTTCCATCTCTCACCCGGCTTAAAAACTACAATTCTTCAATCATCATGATGAATATAAGCATTTGACCATAAGTCATCAGGACTTCTAAAATAGGAAGTGACTTATAATTAGTAAATTAGCTCTGACTCAGAGGACTGGCACATAGAAAGGGAAATAGGGCAGGTTTGGAGGGCAGTGAGGTTGCCACTGAGGGCAGATCTCCAATCTGGGTGGACCTCAGGGGTTGGGGACCCTATAAAGAAAGCATAGGTACAATTTTATATTGGGGTGGGTACATTATCTTTCCAAAGTGGGACCAGCGGCTTTTGGCAGAGTCTCAAAACAACTGATGACTTTCCAAAAAGGCAAAAAACCTAACATGGAAGCTGAAAAATAAGACTTGGAAGGAACTGGCTTGGCTTCAGCTTGCTCACGCCTCCACTTCCGATGTGGCGGCATGTCCCCTTCACACCACACGGGGTGGACACTCGGATCACCCAGGACTGAGCTTGTGATACTTTACCCCTGCCCTCTTCCCTCCATGAGCAGAGAAGGGCAGTATCAGCTTCCTAGCCACCTCTAGACTTTCCCCCTCCTCCCACGTCCGAACTTCCATGCAGTGCATCTCCAAAACATCTCTCAAATCCACCCTTCCCCCTTTCCTTCTGCTGCTCCAGCTTGGACCCCAGCCTCCTTCTGTCTTTTTGCCTCTGGCCTCCCCATCCTAGGCCACTCCCTTGCTAGTTACCTCTGCTTGTAAATCACAGGCCTGGTGATGTGTCTCCTCTAATCAAACTCCCTGGTGGGCTTTCTACTCTTCCCAAAGCTGGGTGCCTGCAACCAGGAGATACAGGAAGAAAATCAGAAAGCTCTGAGTTCATTTTGCTAGTATTTGATACATGAGTTACTACTGCTGGTGTTCTCCCTTTGTCAGTGTCAGGGGGTCACTGTCACCGGAGCCGCCCTAAAGTCACAGTGAGCTGCCCAGCTAAGAGCGGTAGCAACGGTGCCTTCGTTCACTCACATCCGACATATTGAGACAAACAACATTGGACTTACACCTTGTTACATGATTTGATTACCAAAATTGGTATAGCTGTGCTACCTATAACCTCTCATACCCACACAATCAAACTTGGAAGCCAAATATTCTAGAGTCTGGTTAAAAACTATCCAAATGAAGAGTTTCAGGGGGTATTGAATTTTTGAACCTATTTAATGGAGATATCAATGTATCTTTGCAACTTTCCAACTAATTGACATCAAAGAAGAGTGGAATTTACTGAGATTCAACAAAAACTTTTACATAGTCGATAGCTGGAAATGAAATTTAATCAATCATGAATAAGGAGGCACAATGATTTTTTTTTCATTTCTCTCCATCTTCTCTGGTTTTTCTGTCTGTCTGTTGGTATCTCTTCCAGTTCAGATGGTCAAGGATCACAACAAAATGAACTTAGAATCAGACTTTGGAATGACTTTGTTATAAAGGGATAGATGATGATTATTTTAAATAATGGAACATATTTAATTTTATTATTTCTTATTGAGAACAAAAGGTGTTTTACCATTAATAAAAACAGTTATTTTAAAATATTGCCTTATTCATCTTTATCTCTTTTAAAACTCCCATATTTTGTGATTTTTAATGTTTCATATAATAGTATATTTTAATTGATTTAAAATAATACATATATTGTGAATGTGTACTCAAAATGTTTTTAAAGATAGCATGAGATTAAAAGCCTTCGGGGTCCAATTTCCAACATGTTATGCAATGCTCTTCACAATTTGAACCAACTTTATTCATTCTTGTCTTTTGCCCATATATGAGATAAGAATAAATAAAGTTGGTTCAAATTGTAAAAAGCATTGCATAACATGTTGGAAATTTAAATCACTGGTAGTCAGAAGAGGCCTATTTTCACAGAGGCAATGAAGAGAAACGGAACACAATTACAGTGAGCCTGGGGCACCTGAAGAGGCTAGGAGAATTCTTTCAGGTGACACCTTCTGCAGGTGACCAGCTTGTCATCTGCACCCCGACTAGGTGGCATTTATTATCATTGTGAGTCTTCTTTGGCATAAAATGGCATAAAAAACTCCATCTTCCAGAGGCAATATCATATTAACCAAGATCAGAGAGATGCTACCGCATGGATAATTTATGTGAGAACAATTTACTATCAAAGACGTACAAACACTTGCAATGCCGGTCAATGCACCCCTCCTCAGAGGCCCACTCCATGGGAAGAATAATCGAACTGGGGGTTGGTGACTGACGTTGTGCAATGATGCATTCTTCCTCAGAGTGGTGGGATATTTCCATCACCAGGTCCCAGCAGGTAGAGTCTTCATTCTGCACACAGCCGTTCTCCAGGATGCTGTCTCCCGCATACGGCGCCTGGATGGACCACACCTGCTCCTGAGACCCTGCCTGTTCTTTGTGTCACTACCCCCATTTTCTCATTGGTCTGCTCTCCTCTATTCATGTCAACACCTTCAACCAGGCCACACTCTGTCTCTTCGGGTGACTTTGTACATTTCCAAGCTGCTTTATTATTTAAGTCCCAGAGGGAAATCTTATTTCCAAGCTACAACCCCCACCAGCTACTACCTAAGAATCTTGAGTTTATAGGTGGTAATCTGGAAAATCCTTAGTGCTTGTTAGAAGGAGACTTGACATGATGTTTTCAAATATTACTATAATACTTTATTGTATTAAACAAGACATCTAGCTATCAGTCTGGACAGGAATTAAACTAAGAGAAGATGTTATTTACAGCACGAAGAATCACAGCAAATACAAGCATGAATTTCCTAATATTAAGAAATGTGGAGCCCTGCAATAACAAGGAAAGAAGTGGAATAAATCCCTCTCTCACTGTCCACCCCCACCTCCAACCTACCTTTACAACAATGCTCATCTATTTACCTGTATTCTAACTGATTCTAGTCCTATGACTTGGTGAAGTTTTGCTCAGGTTTTAGGGACCTGGACTTCATTTAAGTCCTTGCCCCTGAAATCCTTCAGGTCCAAGGTGTCCTATGTCCCCTCTCACCCAGCAGTTCAATGAACGTGAAATCAACTTGTCGGTTGAATGTTGAAATAGTTTCATGAGCATATAATGCTTCTCTGTGAATTCCAGTTTTAGAGTTAGATTTTCCAGTAGACTAATGAGTCATAAAATAGGAAGAAGCTAGCACTTCACACTTTTCATGATCATCTCTAGTAAACTTAAACTAAACATGACTAGGTGGTGATTGTGTTATGCCTTTTTGAGGATTTAAAGATATCATCAGGTTTGTGGTTTTTAAAGCAGGTACTTTTAAGTAAAAATACTAGCCACCTGTTCCTCGGTTTTCAAAAGATTATGTTTTCTAACTCAAGTTTGAAGTTACGTTTTGTTTAAAACACTGTATTCAAACTGGAGACCATTTTCAAAATAGAAGACTGATATTTTTATCTAAGTCTGAGACCTACAGCTTTCCAATAGCCATAGACAGACTGGGAAAGAAAGCATGCAATATTATGGCTGGTAAAAAAAAATGCACTTAATAAATAGATATGAAAAAAAATGGCCTTTTTCACAGTTTAAAAAAAAAACAGGAGTAGTTTTGAAACGTGGAACAGAAATTGTTGACACAGAGGCTTCTGGATCCACAAAAGAATTATCCCCATTGGCCCAGGACAAACTACACACACCCTGCAAGGCAGCAGAATAGTTTGTAGGTCTGTGCAAAATGTACCACAAGTATTTAACCGCAGAATTTAGAAAC